CGGAGAATGAGCGAACGAGGAAGGGTTCAGGGAACCTCCAAAACCAGAGTTCATACAACCTGTGGTCCTTTTTCTGGTTTCCCGTAGCCTCACAGGATTCATTTGTGGGCCAGTTCAGAAACTTGCGCGCTCAGGGAATGCGGGAATGAACCTGGGGGGTCCCCTTAAAGGAAACCACCTGGATGGTTTATAGGGGTCATTCCCTTGAGCACCAAGGAAATCATCGGCTTTTTGGCCGTATCCTTGCTAACGACGGATGGCCAGTCAGCCAGGCCACGCCGATGCTCCGAATCTGCCCAGGCAAAGAAGCCACAGCGCCGCGACTGGCGGTCGCTCCCCATCCCTTTCAGGCATCCACACCCGGGTGTGTCTAAAAGGGACCCCGGGAGAAAAAAAAAAAGCATTCCTTCCCTTCAAGACACAGATTTCTTGGTGCAAAATCGGACGTGTGAAACTCAACATCAACCAGCTCAAAGGTCCCCGGCGGTTCGAGTGACAGCCCGGCCTCGCAGTGCCAGTATGGTCGTCCCTGGTGCAGGTTTCAGCGATTTACAGATTTTGGCTCCGCTCCCCGGCCAAATTGTCAGAATAGATTCGTGTGCGCTTCTCATTCCCAGCCTTTGTCGAGCCTTCCTTTTTGACCTGGCGAACAGGTTCATAGCAAGTGCAAGCGTGCGATTGAAGCAATGTTGAACTCGCACAGAGAAAAAAAACTAAGATCTATGCTAAGGTTGCACCCCCACCCCCGGAATTTTCTCCGGAGCTCTCGATGACAACCATTTTGGAATGCCAACTGAGGCTTTTGCAAGGCCCTGCACTCCATGCAAGGGCTCTCAGACAACTCAGATCTTATGTCCTTTGAAGTAATTCTTCTGCGATGTCCACCGCAGAAATGCCATCGGTCTCAAACCGCTGCCGGAAAAGGTAGCATAATGTGGCATAGAAACACAAGGGAATCCATGCCCAGCGCTCACAATGTCTACACAGCAGTCGCAGCCTCTGCGGCTTCCGCCTTTGGCTCAGATTTCTCCACCTCCGCCTTTGGCTCAGACTTCTCCACCACAGCTGGTCCATGGAACATGCCACCGTGCTCCGGCCAGTAGTAGCAAGGGGTCAGCAAGGTCCAGAACATAACGTAGCCGGCATGGACCTGGAATGGAATCAGTGGATCATCAATGGGCCGGTAGAAGCAGAAGCCGGCAATGACAGCTCCCAAGTTTCCACCGGCTCCCACCAAGGCGGACACTATCGCCAGCTGTTTCTTGTTCATGAAGGGCACAATGCCGTAGCTGGTCCCTTCCGCCATCTGGACAAACAGGGAGAAGAAGATGAGCACTGCCAAAGCTACATACCATGGCTGCGTGTTGTCCACCAAACCGAAGCAGAACAGGAAGATGGCCTCAAAGAACAGGGACAGGAACTGCGCCCAGATGCGGCCACGAAAGCCGACATACTTGAACAAGAGGTCACTGGTGATTCCTCCCAGGGACCGGGCAAAGAGGTTCATCAAGCCAAATGCTCCCGCCAGGGCCGAAGCATCTGCCGCAGCCATTTGGAAGTATGTCCTAAAGTGGGTTGCCAGTTGATTGTTCATCGCGAGTTCAGTTCCGAAGCATGCCGAATATTGCATGATCATCACCACCACTCGGAAATCCTTCAGAACCTCGACGTAGTCCCACAAAGATGGCTTCTGTGTCTTGCCAGTCACAGCCACATCGAAGCGCTTGGCTGTTGGGGTGTCCCAGCACAAGAGCTTCATGGTGACGGCGCAAAGGACAAAGAGGATCGCAGGAACGATCATGGCCACGCGCCAAGCCGTGTCTGCCAACATGCCAGATCCCACCATGGGGTTGAAGAGGACCGAAATCATAAAGATTTGGGTCACACCACCACCCAAGTTGCCCCAGCCGGCTGCAGTGGCATTGGCAGTGCCAACAATATTGGGCGAGAACATGAGCGAGCACCAGAACTGATTGGTCACAAATGTGGCACCCGCACACCCAATAAAAAATCGAATTAAGGTGTAGTTCCATGGTTCTGTAATGGCAGCAGCCATTGCAACCCAGAAAGCTCCAAAGGTTAGCAAACCGCTTTGAACATTCACTGGGCCGAAGCGTTCCAGCAAGGTGCCAAGGGCAATGCGAACAAAAATGGTTGAGGCCACAGCTGCTACTCCGGCATTGGCAATCATGGCGTTGCATGCGGTCCCTGTGGTGCAGACGCACTTGGCCAGCACTGAAGGTCGGTACTGAAGCTTTTCCGCATCAGTTCCAGTCAACTGCTTGTCAGCAGGCACGGGCTGGCAGTCGGTGGGAACATCATTGGAGTTCAGAACCTTGCCGTATTGGCAGTACTCAAGGCCACTCTTGAGGTTCTTGTACTTCAAGTAGGCCACCCTCGTGGGGTTTTCTGCTGGTGGGAACAGTTGGTTCTCACATTGGCCCATGCTGGTGGCTACCTCCAGCCCCAAAGGTGCCAAGGCAAACCAGCCCAGGAAGGCCAGGAAGAAAGAAACGGTCGAAGCCCAAAATGCTCGCATATGTGGATTCTGCTGAACAGTTCCACATACCCGCAGTAGTGGCAATTCTGTGGCCTTGCTGTTCTCATCCACTGCCAACTTGAAGCCCGACATGTCTATCTGAAAACTTCCTGCAGCTAGGACTCCTGTGCGTGGCTTGAGCAACGGATTAAGCAATCAAACTTGGAAGCACACGTCTCTCCCAATGCTCAGTATTTGCTGCCCGCGATGCATCTTTATAGCGGACACAATCGGACACAACAAGCGCTCAGCTGCCCTTTTGGTTCTACCTGTAGAGCTGGCGAAGCCGGGGGACGGAAGTTTCAAGCACAAAACAGATAGTTTGGTTATCGTTCTGTTGTTCTTGGTTTTCTTCTAATTCTCGTTGTCATCTTTCATCATTTCATGATGTATTTCCTTCTTGCTTTGTTTCCTTCTTTCTGTCTTTCTTACTTTCGTTCTTTCTTTCTTCCTTTCTTCTCTTCTCATATCTTCTCTTCTCTTCTCTTCTCCTCTCTTTCTTTCTTTCTTTCTTTCTTTCTTTCTGCCTTTCTTTCTTTTTCTCTCCCTCCCTCCCTCTGTCTTTTTGTCTTCTTATGTTGGCTATTTATTATTGATTTATTCATATTTTTGCATTTGTTTTTCGCTATTTATTTCTTTCTTTCTTGCTTTCTTTCTTGCTTTATTTCTGCCTTTCTTTCTTTTCTCTTTTTCCCGCTCCCTCTGTCTTCTTGTCTTTCTTATGTTGTTTTTCTTTATTTATTTATTGCCTTGTTATTTTCCTTTTCTATTCCTTTATTTTATTTTATTTTACTTGTTTCTTTTCTTGTCTTTCTTTCTTTCCTTCTGTCTTTCTGTCTTTCTTTCATTCTTTCTTCTTTATTTCTTTCTGTTCTATTCTATTCTATTCTCTTCTGTTCTGTTCTATTCTATTCTATTCGATTTTTTTTTTTATTTCTTTCTTGCTTTCTTTCTAATTTATTCTATTCTATTCTCTTCTATTCTATCTTTCTTTCTTTCTTTCTGTCTCTGTCTTTCTGTCTTTCTGTCCTTCTGTCCTTCTGTCTTTCCGTCCTTCTGTCTTTCTGTCTTTCTGTTCTTTCTCTCTCTCTCTCTCTTTCATTATTTCTTTCTTCCTTTTTCCTTCCTTCCTTCCTTCCTTTCCTTTCCCCTTGCCTTTCCTTCCTTCTTTCTTCCTGTCTTTTTCCTCTTATCTTTTCTTTCTCTCTGTCTCTTTATCCTTTTGTTTTTGACCTTGCCACGACATCTGCACCTGACCTTGCAAAAACGCTTGCGCCTGCCACAAATTCTGTGCCAGACCTTGCGAGAGGGCTGCGCCTGCCAAGCAAACTAACCTTGCGAAACAGAACGTGCGCGTCAGTGCCAATGGGCCCGACTCCGAACGTGCTCTGAACGGAATGCTCCCCAAGAGCGCTCCGACCAGGCGTCGCGATCAGGCGAACTTTCGACCACCCCAAGATACCGAAACCCGCACAGGGTTACGCTTTTCTTGAATTTCTGTTCCCCCGCCAAACGCTCACGCACGTTTTTCGCTCAGTCTGCGGTCGTCTTCTGTCAGAGCGGTAGTTTTCGATTAGTTGCCGTGCCACGAAAGTTCCTTCTAAACTTCCTTTGACTATAGCCTTAATGACACCACCTACTAAAAACGGCCAATCGGGATTTTGGCTCGCAGCTCATGCTTGAAACAATGAAGCTGGGTGGCCTGCCTCCGACTTCTTGCAAGCTTTGCTGCAGCGGCAGCGCGGCTCTGAGGATGGCTGAGTAGTTTCCTGTGGAAAGTGCCAACCAAAAGCCTTCGAAGCTGATTTCCGTTCGGTTGCCCCTTCACATTCACCATCATTCACCCAAAGAGCTCCAAAGATCGACAAACATTCCCGCCAGATACGATGTGCGTGGCCCTTCGTGATCCGGTGGCTTTCCAGCTACAACTATATGCCTTTCACGCTGCTGCCGCTGTTTCTCTCAAAAACAAGGAAACCGTGCAAGGAGCCTCGTCGCGGCCACAGATCGACTTCCTCGGATTCAAGTTGCGACTCCCGCAACGAAGCTCAGCTCTAAGGCAGGCACGGCTCAGCTGGGAAGTCTGAATCCTCAAAGGGGGCCTGCGATCTTTTCAAGGGAGCCCAAACGGTCCCAGGCTCACTTGAGCGGCCTTCAGGTGCTCAAACCTAGGTTGCCTGGAAATCTTAAGAGCGTACACGAGCTAGTTATGTAATCACCCGGGTAGCTTACGTGCTGACCCCCACCACTTCGCAACCACGACGCACTTATGCGGTTTTACACCACACGTTGTCATTCCCCGGAAGCCCTTATTGACCCCTCTTCAATTGCGAGCAAACTGGTTTTGAACCCTGCTCACTTGTCCCTCCTGGTCTTCTCGAGCAGCGCTTGAAAATTTGGGCAGAAACGTAGGCGAGCTTGCGAGCGACTGTGCCGAAAAGTCCTATGAATAGAAAGCCCATCAGGCAGCAACCCCGATCACAAAAAGCACGGCGTAATCCTGCTTGTTGCAACCTGCTTGCGGCGGCATGACTGCCCCCGGTACAACTGGGAATTGGAGCTCCAAGTCCTGGGTGGGTTTGCAGGTTGCGCCGGAAGCCGGGGTGTAGCGAGCAGAGCGGCAGGGCAAATGCGTGACGTCATACAACTTGGCGCCATCCCCAAGCTGCCACGTCCCGTTTTCGGAGACCGTCAGGCTAGTAGTCACCTCCCTGGCTCCAGTCACAAGATACTTTCCGGCGGGCAGAGGAAAGTCGGGCTTCTCCATAATGAGGCCATGCTCCTCCAGCCACCAGTCATTGTCGTCGAACTGCCACTTCGCGGGGGCAACGCCTCCTCTGAACTTCAGCTTGTCGTACTCGTAGAGCCGCACCCCCCGGGGCCCGGGATCCTTCCTCCACAGCCCCCAGCTCTCCGCGCCGCCCCCGGAGTTGGCCTTGGGATCCCCCAAGGCCGCGATGTACTGGATCTCCCGCAGGCGCTTGAACTCCTCGGCGCGGAGCTAGCAAAAAGTGGTGGTGCCCGCTCTTTGTTGGCACTTTGCTTGTTTTTGTGTAAAGGTACAAAAAGAAAAACACGCAATAAAAGCCCGAGCGAGGCCAAAAATCGGGCGGGGAGGGGAGTCTGTCTGGTTTGCTCCCTTTCAGAAGAAATGGCAACTGGTTTCAGGGAAACCTTGACACCCTCAGACGTTGAAAGGAGTGGAATCCACTGGTTGCAACTGGGACTCCGTCTTGGAGTCCTCCGCTGCAGCCGGCTGCGCCAGCGCTGCCGGGGCAGCCAGGATCGCCCGCCGGCTCAGTGAACTCAACGCCTGGAAAGTGTGTAACAAACCAATCTGGTTACCAAAATCGGTTGAACAAATATGGTTGAACCAATCTCCTTACAAAAAACACAAAGGTTGACAAAAATCACGTCCAGAGCCTTCAACCCTGCCTCCTCCGCTTTCGCCTCCGCTTGCACCTCTGCCTCGCGGCAGGTTTTATCTTGGCCTTGGCAGGCGAAACTCTCGTGACTCCAGGCTCCCCAAAGCAGCAGCACGCCCGCCAAAACCAATGGCGTGCACCGGGCGCGGGGTTTCATCCGGAAAAACTGCCAGGGATCTTGACAGAGGCGCTCTTGGACCAGAATGGCTCCCATTTCACGAATTGGCTAAGGTCAATGAGCGCAATAGGTCAGGTCAATTCCAGTGCCTTCAAACGCCACAAAACCTGCGTCGCATCACTCTCCATGAGCATCGGCCTGTAAGCCGGCCTTGGTTCTCTGCCATTCCTTGGCACAGTCAAAGCACTTGAGAGCCGACGAAAGCAACTGAGCACCTGACCGCTCGAGCAGCTCGAAGCTGTGCGTTGGTCATGGCCTAGGGTGCAACATCTCAGCTTGGCCCGCACACATTGATGCTTGGTGCCTCTATCAGAGGTTACTGGCAGCAAGGTCAGACTCTGACATCGACTAAAGGCCCGACGTCGTCTCCAGTGAGAGTTGTCCATTCCACCGCACCCAGCGGTCTTCCCCAGCGACGTATCGCGGGGCCCTCCGGTAGCTCCCGCGGCTCCCGCGGCACCCGCGGCTCGTCCGCATCCAGATCTATCGGACTGGGAGATGCGGTCAAAAGCATGGCGCCAGTGCGCGGCACCAAGAGTCAAGTTCGAAGAGTTGACCTCTGTTCTTTTGAGTTCGGAAAGCAAGCAATCGCTTGCCACAAAATGGCTTTGGTCATGGAGTTGTCTGACTGCTAAACGCTTCAGTGCCAAAGTGCTGAGCATCTTGTAGGAGGTTCATGCTTGTACGTGTTCTGCATTTGACTTGGTCGGCTTGCCGGAAAGTCGGCTGTTAAGCTGAACTATCAAATCTGTGCATCGAATTCTATAGAGCCAGGGAAGCAGCAGATGTCAACCAATTGATCAAGCGAACTGCTAGCCAGCGCTTTGAAGTGCTTGTGTCTGGCAGAGACTTGAGCAGCCATCAAGGACAGTGTTTTATGCTCCACTCTGCTTAGCAGACAGGAGAGTCCTCCTAGCACGCGGCACTTTAGCTAAAAAGCGTTGCGCTGTGCCCGTCTAGAATGCGGCCCCTCATCTGCCGCGCCGCCGCACAGCGCGGGTAGTCTCGTCTGGACTTCAAACACCTTAGTTCGTTCATCCCTTGCTCAAGGTTAAACTTCAGTGGGATATGTCAATCCCACTAAACTCTAGACTCTACTTGTCTAAAAGTCTGAAACCGTGCTGGGAAAGACGCTTCATCTCCCGCTGGAGGTAATTCGCCAAGCCGGGCAGTTCCAAATCGTCCATCGCGCTGCGGAAAAGCTGCGCACCTTCGGGCGCCGCCACGGCGCGCGGCGCAGCCGGCAGAGAGATCTGAAAGTTGCCGGAAGGCTCGGGCTCATGGGTTGTTTCCTGAACTTTCGCCTGAAAGGGTTGGCAAGGCATATTGGGCTGTTTGCTCTTTCAACATGCTTGAGCTGCAACTGCTGCTGTCTCTAAACAAACTCTCCCTTTGAGGTGACCAGAAGATTGATCTTGACCCAAATGTTGCCCATTTCTTGCCTCTTTGCCCCACCTTGCCTGAGCCTCAGCCTCCTGTCGCCTCTGGAGCTCAGCTTCCAGTCCTTCGCTCCTTTCCCGCAGCGCTTGCACCTCAGCGGTGGCGCCATGCAGGGCCTCCCGCTGTTGCGCGAAGCTCTGCTGCAGCTCCAGGTGCTCCTTCCGCGTAGCTCCCCACTGCGTTCTCATTTTCATGTGGGGGGCCTTGAGGCTTGGTATCACATGAAATGACCCCAAAACTTCCTGAACTCACTTTATCAGTTTGATGGAAGGTGCTTAAGTCCTTGGAAGAAATGGGCCTAAGACTTCCTGAAACTCAACTGTCCACCATGTCCTTCCGTAGCTGGCCGTGCTCCTTCTGCAGGCAGTTCACTACGGCTCGCTTCTCCACCAGCTCCTGCCGGATGCTTGAGACGACACAAGCAGTTTTTCACAACATCCGCACAATACATCACAATACCAAAGTCCAACCCAAACTTTGAACTCCAAAATCAAAGGCACCGGTCTCCTTTCAATAACCCAGCCGGAGTCTCTATCATCTCTTAAAGATGCCCAAATTTCCGGGTGTGTTTGCCCATTTTTCAGGGGTCATGGAGATTCACAGCTGAACAGGGATCCTTACATTGTACACCTGAACATTGCCCCCTACATTTACATGGCAGTTTCGCTTTACTTCGGTGGACAAAGCCATGTTTGAAATGGGCAAAATGTATCTTTCAAGGAGCCCTGCTGAAGCATAAAGATTTTCATCAGCACACGTCCGGCCTCTCGCACCTCTGTGGTCTGCTCGCTGAGCACAGTCCACTCCGCCTTCAACGCCTGCAGCTGCTGCGCCTTGCTGTGGACCTTGGCCAGCGCCTCTTCGCGCTCTTCCTGACGGCCGACTGGCCGTGGCACAAATACCCAGGCAGCTTGAGGGAATCCACCCCACCCAAAAAAACGAAGTTTGCGAACTTTTCTTAACATGTTGCCACTTTAGGGAACCAAATGGTGACCTTTGGCAAACCGTGATCCGCGCAAGCTATCCGGGAGGCTCCTGCGCTCTTTGCTCCGCCAGCGTGCAGTTGAATGCCTGCGCTAAAAGAGCTCTGTCGCTTGTCGAAGGCGGTCGATGTTGCTCCAACTGGGTTCATGAGTCTACCAAAGTCATCCACTAAGTGCTAGGTTCAAGGGAATCAACCCCGATTCATGAGTTTTATCCAAAGAAACAGTCATTTATATGTTTTGACTTGAGTTGCTTGAGTGCAAGACCAACTTGTGTTCGTGCCTTTGCCCCATACCCAGAAACGCACGTGCGGCGGCGCCTCCACCCGCGACAGCTGCACTCGCTCTTGTGCACGAAAGAGCTCTGCCTGGCTGCCGCGCTCAGACTTCCCCAGCTCTGCACACAGCCTCGCGGGGCAAGCCCTTCATGATCTGGCTTCCTCTCAACATGGGGTATGCGGTATGTGGCCTTTTTTTTTGGGGGGGGGGGGGTTGTATTTCAAACCCCTGCAGGTAGTGGTTTGGGGAAGTGGTAATCACCTTGCACCTTGGACCAGCCGCGTCGCCGCTACGCCGCTTGTCCGCGCTTGGCCGCTTAGCTGCTCTCGTCCTCCCCTCACCCCGTTTCAGATGAACGAGTAAATTGAGTGGACCATGCAGAGCCAATGGAGCCACATGTCACTGTCCTGTGTGACTTAGAGTGAGATCGATTTCTTTGTTCTCCTTTGCGTTTCTTGGGTTACCGCCGCAGCACGTCGAAGCCGTTCTTACTCAGCAGAGCCGCACGGAAATGGACCGCCAACCTCGTTGCGCTCCCAAAGTTTTTGGACGGCATGCCGGCATCAGTCACACATGGAGGTGTGTTTGAAGGGGTAGATACTCAATTCAGGACGTTGCTCTTTCTCAGGATGTTTGTTTGTTTTTGCTCTCGGGCACTGAGATCCCGTGGATGAATAGCCTGATTGAAATTAATCAGCGCTTCCAGCGTTCGTCGGGGTTGATCAGGTTCAAGGGTGACAACTGTGATTGCGGGCATGCGGGAGCACCTG